AGAAACAACAAACACCACAGTTGTTTTTTAAACAAGTGGATTATCGCAAACATCCTATGTATCCAAGAACTTATATAACTCCAGATACTGACTGATTAGGATTCTCAGGAATCGTAAATTGTATACCTCGGCTTTGATTCTTTGCAGACAAAGACAAAGGTTTGAATTGAGACTTTTTACAGCATCCAACATCAATGCCATTGAGTTACTTTCAGCATCCTATTGATCCGTCTTATTGACATAGAACAAATCTGTTTCTTTTTGGGTCATTTCTCCGTTTTTCAAGGGCACACGACTTAATTTACACCAATAAACGCTCAGATCCCTCCAGTTCCCTTTAAATAGCGGGTTAGAAAATCCCCCACAAATATAAAGCTACAAACCTATTATGTTCTCTGGTTTTATGCAGCTCTGTCAACACAGAAGAACCAGAACTCAGAGCTGGAAACGCAGTGTTGTTAGTGTGTGTTGTGTGTTGTGTGGTGCTTGTGTGTGTGTGTTTGGAGTTGAGCTGAGTGTCTGTGTTGTGGTGTGGTGTGTGGTTGTTGCAGTGAGTGTGCCTGCGTGCGTGCGTGCGTGCTGTTCGTGGCGTACCTGCGTGCGTGTGTGTGCACCTCTGGCGCAGCTCTGGGTACAACTGGGCGTTCTCAGGCCAGCTCCGCTCAGTGACCAATCTGTGGTAGATCGCTTCTTCATCCGAGACCTGACAGGGAGCAGGCAAGAGAACCAAACCAGAGTCCTCGAACCGGTCCGACGAACCCGACGGGGGCCCACAAACAGTGCTGACCAAAGGATTAACCGGAGCAGTGTTGTAAGGAACTGTGGTGAAGTTTAGATCGCAACCGCATTTGACACATGGCGGACTCTGTACGATCAAACTCTCGATTCTAAGGAAACCAAACAAACTCCTGGAGCTTAGAAAGTGATTGATCCTGAATGCTCCACAATACAATACATACATAATCCAATAAAATAATGATAATAATAATAATAATAATGAATCAACAATAATCATCGAGAGGTACCCTGATGATAACAATCGGAGCGGACCTCCTGGTCCTTCTCCTCTTCATGCTCACAGACAGCAGCAGGTTTCCAGACTTGCTGGCTGGCAGCCAAGAAGAGAGGTTTTAACATGCTCCTGAAGAGAGAGAGAAGAGACAGAGAGAGCAGAGACGAGAGGCAGAGAGACGAAGAGGAAGCAGAGAACAAGAGGAGAGAGACAGAGAGAGACAGGAGAGAGCAGACAAATACTCCACAATATGAATCCATAATCAATATCCTAGCAAGGACCCGGCGGAGTTCTAAACCCAAGCAGGCGACATACTGCTGGGAGCGGGCCCGAATGAGCCACAGCCAGAACCAGAGCGGGGCCCGAATGAGCCACAGAACCAGAGCGGGGCGGAGCGACTGCCGGCTGATTTCCAGCGGCTCCGACCTGGACTCTGACTCTGGGGTTGAAGACACAGCGGGTTCTAATAAGCACTGTTCTTGTACTACACTGTTAAAAGTGTCTGCAGATTTTATAGTGAAACCGTCAAATGATGATAGTAAAAGACCGTAAACTCTAAATAGGTTAAGGTTTCTGCAACAGTCAAACACTGCGATACAAATTAAAGGAATTTACAGGGAATAAAATATCTTTTTACATTACAGACTGTAAACTTCACAGAAAGCCACCGTCACAGCATCATATGGTAAAACTGTTCTGATGGTAAAAAAGGTCAAATATGGATTAAATCTCTCACCCTGCCCAAGAAGTGCTTCCTGTACGCCCGCGCAGCCTCACTGATCTCCTCCAGCCGGTACCCATAATGCCCTGGGGCTCTGTCTTCTTCCTCCTCCTCCTCCTCCTCTAGTGGGATCTCCAAGGAGGTGGGAGGAGGCGCGGGAGGAGGAGGAGCTTCGGGGTCCTCGATCCAGTAACCTCCAAACTCAGGAAGGATGACCTGAGGGTACGGACCCCCCCTCTCCAACACCTGCATGTATTAATTAATGTTTGAGAGAGCAGGAAGAGTTTCTGTTTTAGGTGGGAACTTGTTTAATCTTCTGTCACATCACCTCCTCTGTTACCTCCTATGAGCATAATGATTCTATCTAAAGTCTAACTCCACCTTCAGCTCTGCTAGCTCCGCCCCTCTCTGCTAAGATAAGGCTGAAAAAAACTAAATCATATATATACAATCACAATTTTAAGTTTCATAAAAAAACCTGCTCGGATTGAGCAGCTGCTGTCTCTCCACTTCCACGTCTGTATTCTCACGAGAGCACCGTCTGCCTCGTTGGTGGTTCATGTGTCCTTTTACATTTGTGTGAATCTCATTATTCATTTATCTACTATTTTATTCCATTATTCCACCTTTTATGTGAAGATAAGACTTTGATAAACAAGCACCATAACAGTTGGTCCACATGAATAAAGGATTTCAACAATCAGACTGAATCAGCTCAGGTGTTTGAGGCGACTGCGGAGGTTCGGTCTCACCTCCTCAATCCTCGGATAGGGAATGTAGTCGTCCTGAAAGAGAGCGACAGAGTGTTACACACACAGTCGTGATGTGCGTGCACACACACACACACACACACACACACATTCAGGTGAACACTGTGAGGATGAAGAACACGACAGATGGTCCAGATGCTGTGTGAGTTTCTGTTCCACCAATCACAGTCAATCATTGGATCCCCGGAGGGAAACTGATTGTGTCGAATGAGAGAGACCAACGTGTTGTTTCCTGCAAGCAGATGAACCTGCGAGCCCCCCCCGTCCCCCCACTGTTCTACTCGATGTTGATATAAGGCGAGTTTTATACGACGCCATCGGCCGTTGAAACGTTTTCGTACACAATCAAGATGGCTGCAGCAGTCACAGAATGATCTCTTTAAGGTTTAAAGGAACAGATGAAGGGAACGAAGCAATGGAAGGTGGATGGACACGAGGACAGACAGACGGACAGACGTGCCTTCTGTCTCTGAGGGATCGTCTTCATCTCGGCAGCTTCTGGTACCTGCTGCATCGGCGTGAGGAAGAGAGGACAGTGTTAACGTTGTCTGCTAACGTCGGTAACAATTACGGTTCCTGAACTTCGAGTATCGGAAATAATCTGATACAAGTGTGTGTTCACTGTAAAATATATATATAAAGTAAAACTTCTAATAATAGCCGGGCGTTTATTTGCTTAAATC